ATTGGACATGGTTAAAAATTCTGATAGTCTTTGCTTTTAGTGAGCAATCATTTCTAATCCTCTTTCGCCTTGAAAGTGCTTGTTTTCTAAAACTATTGAATTAGCTTGTCTTCTAAATGCTGATTGAGTATCTCTGACCCTAAATTTATTTCTCATTGCGTGTTTGGTTATTAATTGTCTAACTCTTTCTCTACTTACAACATCTGTTGCCTTTTTCATAGCATAACTTCTGTATTCATTACTGTTCTTTATTGATAGTAGTTTCTTGGTCAAGACATTTGATATGGGTTTGTCTTTGTTGTATCTGAACTTCCTGTTGTCTATGATTATGGACTTCAATTCTTTCCTTCCTCTCTTTGGTATTTCTGCTAAATCATTAATAAATAGTCTATAACTTTTTTCATCATATATTAGTATATATGTTATTTAGTTAATTTATCTTTAAGTAGTTTTCAAAAGAATGCTTTATTTTGATCATAGAATTTGTACTTAAAGAATAGTTATTTAAGTATACTAGTGGGATGGATTGTGTGAAGGATTTGCCTGTTGATGTGTTGAGTAAAATTGATTCGGAAAAATTGGAGACCCGAAATATTTGAAAGTAAAGTATAGTGAAGCATTGAAGAGAATACAGCACAATATAAAAATATCAAGACTTGGTCCTAAAATAACAAGACATTTGAAATCAAGAAAAAATATATATCATTGAATACTGTATTATGAGAGAGGGAGTGCCATTTAGTTTAAAAAGTATAGAAGACATAATAATAGAAGAAAAAGAAGAATTATTATCTTTAATTTTTGAAGAAGTAGAAGATGATGTAAATTATAGAGTTAAACTTGATATTGAAGTTCAATTAGTGGCAAAACTCCGAGAAAAGGAATATGGAGAAAATGAATTTAGTTGTAGATAGATTTATTTTATGAATGGCTTTGATGAATACATAGATAAAGGTAATATAGATGATGTATTAGATAAAGCAGTTGAAGAAATACAGGAAGATATAGATGAAGACAATGATAAAGACAGTATAATAGGAATACAAGCATTTGATTTTGAATTAGAAATTATTGAAGTCATTTACTACTTACGTAATTTTAATGATAATATTATTAGAGTTATGGGTTTGTAAGATAGGATTATTAAAGACTAAGGAAGTATCTGTATTGTTGCCTATTGTTTTGTTTTTTTTTTTATGTTGCGCTTTGCTTGGTTTGTTTTTTTTTGTTTGTTGTTTGGTTGTTTTGTTTTGGGTATGGAATGGATGAGGTGATGATGTATTGACTGTGATGATTTCTACGAAATGGATGAGGTATAGAGATTGTAGGTTGTTTTGATTTATGAAAATGAATGAGATGATGATATGGTTAGTAGTGATGATTTTGTGGAATGAATGAGGTAATTGTGGTTAGTTGTTATGTTTTTTTTGCAAATAATTATTGAGTTGTTATACTGCTATAATTTGAATTTATAAAACTTCTTTGAACTAATGTTTTTAACATTTTTTCCCCCGCCCCTGCCCAAGACTATTGCTTCAGATGACAGGCGATCAAGGTGCAGTGCTTTTGTGTGTGCAGAGGAACATGAACGCTTTTGTCACCCCCCCCGCCCCTGCCCAAGTCCTCAAACGATCAGAGGGGGAGAAACTTAGAGGAAGACTCCAATTTGCCAGTGGACACTTATATTCGGACGGAGTGCCCGGAATCGGCTGCATTCTTTGTCAAAGCACATAGCCATGCAAACTCTGAGCGATGAGACGATCGCTGCCTTGAAGGGTCTTCGAGAACAAATCTCCGTGAACGCTCCCCAGGACCATCACTGGTCTCATGTCAGATCATATCCATGTCTACGTAGGGTACTCTGGAGCCGGGGGAGCTGTTTATCAGAGTGATGGAACAGCCTATGCCTTTTTCAGTGAACAGATAGATAAGCCTTTCTTGCTAACAGCCATGGGGTCAGGCCAACACACTATGATTCAGGAACTTGAAATGCTCGCCTTACTGATTGCAGCCGAGTTGTGGTGTCCCTCTTCTGAAGGACGTCGCGTTGTAGCTTTTTCGGACAGCGAGTCAGTCAGAGGAAGTTTCTTGAAAGGTTGGTCCAGCAACGACCCATCCAGTCAAGTGCTAAGGAGAATTCTCCTTTTAGAAGAGAGATATTCGAGTCACATATGGTTGGAACGTGTCCCTAGCCAGTCAAATCCATCGGATTTGCTTTCACGGAGCCGAGTGGCCCGGTGGTCAGGTTTCCAACAGACCCGTGTCAATCCACGTGAGATATGGGACCACGCTGCCAATTCCATAGGGTGATAGCGCGCCAGTGTGGCGACTTTTGAGCCGCAACCCGCAACCCCATTGACAAAAAGATAAGCGGCAGCGGCTATCATGGTTTGTTCTTGCAAAAGAAATAGCACACTGATTTTGACATCACTGCATGGATGGTTTCAAGGAACATAAGAATACTCTCATGAGGATCATGATAAATTCTTATGTGGGAGAGACCATCCTAGAAACGAAACGTTGCTAGTGAATACAGTGATGTCATGTGCTGTTGTTAACTGTTTGATGTCTTCGTTGTTCTGGATCACAGTCTCATGTGAGACCAGCAGCAAGTGCAGCATAGACAAGTGAAACAGATGATCAGGTTCATCATGACATGTCAAGTCAACATGCTCAATTCATGTCGAAGTCAACATGTTCAATCATGCCGGAATGAACCTTTCCTCCTACATCCAAAGTTTTCACCTTCTTCCAGATTTCATATCACAATTTTTCGTCCCAGTACCGCTCCCTCCCTAATGGCTTTCGTCCAAGTGGATGTTGACCTGCAGACTCTTTTCCAACCACTACTAGCCAGTCAAAGGGAGTTGATGCGAGCCATCGAGATCATTTGCCAAATTGACGACCTTAGCGATTTCACAGAAGACGTGGAGTTGCAGGCCGCTACGGCGCATTTGCGTTTGGTGCGGCAACCGTTGGATCAAGTGTGCGCCGTCCTTCGATTGCGCCTCACCATCCACATGGTCCAATTGGCACGTCGATTCAGGGAACATTTCAGACGCCAGAACCAGATCCCCATCGTCAACTTGGATTTTCGATGACCTGCTTCTTCTTGGGACCTACAATTTTTCTCACGCTTTGGCCTACCCACCGCCATAGCGCGCCAGCGTGGCGAGCGACTTTTGAGCTGCAACCCCATTGACAAAAAGATAAGCGGCAGCGGCTATCATGGTCTGTTTTTGCAAAAGAAATTGCACACTAATTGTGACATCACTGCATGGATGCTTTCAAGGAACATAAGAAAATCATTTTGGACAATAGCGCTGCCAAGCAAGTCATGAGCGCCATATGAGGCAGGAACCCAAAACAAATGGCCTTGTGGTCGACTGAGAAGATCAGAAAGACTTGACCGAGCAGTCCAGGCTGGTCAAACTCGAAAGGTATTGAAATATGTCGAACAGCGACAAGTCATGGTGGCCAGTTACAAGTTTTGCAATGAGAGACCCGAACAACGTGCTGGCGTGCGGTGCATGATGCAAAGCTTAGATGATGTTTCAAACTCAGAAGACGAGTAGACGCCCAATTAGATGTGAAACCCTGACCGTTTGAAATTGCACATACAGAAACTGCAGTGTAAAGGCGGGTTGAGAAACATTTTCGTACAGTGCACTCATGTCGACTATGTGTAGTATTTGTTTATACCTTGGTGACTTGCATGGGTTCCACACATTTCCTGCCAGATTGCAATTTTCACTTCAGTGGCCGTAAGGGCTATGATCAAATGTAGTACATGCTCTTACCACAGGCGTCTTGCGCTCAAGGAAAACAAGCAGGATTGCAGGAAGTTATCATCTGCCGTTGCAACTTCTGCCCCCTCAAGTTCTTTTGTGATTTCCTGGTCGAGAAACACATGAGAACATGTCGGGCCAGCTTGCATGTCATTTTCATGCGTGCGTGAAAAAAATGTGACGCACTTCCGCGCGATATATCACATGCATTTTTGCCATTTTTCTTTCTATTTTACCACATTGTTTCCTATCCCCCACACTGTTTGGGGTTTCCTGCCGGTGCATTTTCTTAAAGTCGAACCCGTCTCATATCATTTCCCCCTCCCCTGAACAAATATACTTTCAGACCACCTATATAAATGATGTTTTATTCAAAAAACACGGAGCAATTCTAATTTTCTAGACCCCCCAAAACCACCAACCCAAACCACCACATAAACACATGTTGAGTCACATAATTTGTACATGAAATTTGTAAGATTAAGTACCGCCAAATTGAATAATTGAATATACCCTCAAAGATAACACATCCATTGGATGAAATGCTCCGTGTAAACATATTATGTTTCAGGGGCCATTCAGTTTGCCATGTAAATGGGCAGCCCATTCGCACAGAATGATGAGCGGCATTTGCGCAATTCTGTTGTTAATTTTCCGGCACATTTTGATGGGCAAATCAAAATTTGAAAAACACCTGTTCCCAATCTGATAGTTGGTTGTGACAGGTTGGCAGCATCACAGTCGGTTTGGAACTTGTGAACATAATGATCAGGTTGTGCAAAACTGTGTGTTCGTTCGCTTCCGTCAACTAGTGTATGGTGTTGCAGCGAAACATGCGCTGTATGTCGGCCGCTTGTTTCAAAACATCAAGACATAAATGCAACAAAATCAAACAATTCTATCAAATCAAAGGAAAATGTATGATATTTTTGCACTTCCGAATCCTCAAGAACAACAAACACAGTCCACAGAGATTCTGACAAAAATTAATCAAAAACAAATTTCAAAACAATTGACCCCATATTTTCCTTTATATCCATGGTTTGGGTGCCGAAACATTTGATTGCAAACGCATTTTGATAAACATGCAATTGTAACATTCAACCAACAAATTTTGCCATGGCTAACTTTGGGCCGGAACCTCAACTTACGATTGAACACACAAATCAGTGTGGACGCAACCAACACCTGCATTCTCTTGCCAGGGACGGGATGACTCCAAAAGTGCGGAACCCCAGTATTTTGCAGGCAAATGGTTTGAACATGTTTGAACAACATGCTTTAAACGCAAACGAATCATTTTGGATTTTCATCGTTTTGAGGTGAAACTTTCTGATGCTTTGATTCAGAATCTCGCGGTGGGCAAAGTCTACAGAGATCACAAGGGCCCAGTGAGTGGGCACGGAACTTATTGAAAAATAGTGAGATACGTCGATGATCCTCGATGCAATCATGATGTAATCATGATGTAATCATGATGTAATCATGATGTAATCATGATGTAATCATGATGTAATCATGAAATAAACAAACAATGTGAAATTTGTTGTTGAATTTTTCCAGGTGTGGATGCTTGATTGGTGCCAAACAATTCTTAACATCAAAAGTTAGCCGAGGATGGATTTCACCTACGATGGGCAATTTCTTGTGACGTCCGGCGAGGACGGTTGGTTGTTTTTTGCACGCAGGATGGCACAGGTATGTTCAAATAAACAAATGACCATAAATGCTAAAATTTGTTTCGCATCCAAATAGTATGTTTTCAACCGGATGCAAACAAAACAACAATGAGGACAATGAGGTGTTAAAAATATTTAAAAGTAATGAAATATGTCGTCCGCGATTGTTTCCAAAGGACAACAGCGTCAATGTGTACTCTTGCGAGAAGGCTTCGCGGGTGCGGCATCTCCGCCCTGTTCCTAGAACTTTGTGTCTGCACACATTACATTGCAAAAACATTTCAAATTGAAAAACGACAAATTGACATTGTAGTCACATTACATTTTTCATCCTTCCAAAATTCTTAATTTTGTTGATTGTTTTCTGAAAAACAAACATAATTATTTATTGTACACTGGAGGCCCTCGTTCGTTTCTATTTTTGTTCGTGTTTATGTCATGTTTTCCCTCGTGCATTGAGGTTGTGAAAAGTATGGCGTGGCCTTGATTCGGTTCCTGCACAATGACAGGCTGATTGAACTGAATATCAGAGTTGTGATGAGTGTATATCTGGAATTGACTGTGAGGTGACCTATTTCAGTTGCAAAATACATTTTTTTTGTTGAGTAGTCCAATGCAACATGTTTGTACGTGCGAACACATTCAAACAAATTCATTCTTCTTGAGACACACACACACATATTAGTGTCGAAAGTGCGAAGGAAGACGATTTGTTTGCGTTGCAACACACACACACATTTTGAACTCTGTTAGGGACAATTCAATTTCTGCAGCTCCAATTTATGCCAATTCCCGTTGCTCCAACTTTCTGCTGATGTAATTTTGAATTGAATTATCTGTTTGGTTTTTGAGACGCAAACCACAATGGAGCGGAAAAATCAAGACAACTAGTGAACATGTAACACTTCGACTTAGACACATAGATAGTTTCTGAAATTTCCTTTCATTTTCTACATTTTCCAGTATCGTCCTGCTTTCATGTTTCTCCTTTGATTTTTCCCTTTCCATTCCATTCACATATTTCAGGGATTGCGCTGTAGCTGCTTCAAGAAATGAGGCGCGGATGCAGTCAGTGCAGTCGGTGCAGTCGGTGCAGTCGTAAAGGTTCCTTTTAGTGGCCAGGCTGACCACCTCCTCAAGTACTGGGATTTCCACGACAACAAATATCTTCGCGGCAGCCTCGGCAACTGACAGCCTCGTGATAAACGCTGTCGGAACACGTCGGAACAGGGTGCTGACTCGCTGACATGTTCTCACATCTCAGGAACTCCTACTAAAGACATGTTTGAAACAGGAACCTTGAGAGACCTTGAGTATTGGTTCACGTTTTGGTGATCTGAGCATTGTCTTTGGATGGCAGTGCGGGCTCAGGTTTGTTCCGAAGCCACACAGGCAAGGTGACATCAGCAGTTGACTCAGTTTGCCACGTTTTTGCGAAGTTGTTCAAGGAACTTTCGCCTGAAATCAGCTCGATTCACTCGATGTGAGCATTGTCACCAAGGTCAGTCCACATCCTTACGAGGTTGGCATTCACAAGATTTCACCTGAACAAAGGTTGATGCCACCATCCGCCATCCCTTGTCTGGATGTTGCAGGATTTGTTTCTGTCTGGAGCAGAGGACCGTTCTGAAAGCTTGCCAATTATTTTTCCATGGGTCAGAACACTTTTGAATTGCAAGACTGCGAGTGGAGTAGTTTTTGCTGCCATTTTCCACTGTGGGTTCTACATTGCTCACTGATTCCTCTGAACAGAGTAAGGGGGACTCTTCGGCACAAGATGCATACATTGACATACATGGTGTACAAGGACAAGTGCGTACTGCTCTGGGATTTGAGACAGGAGCTGCTGCACCATGCCTTGTGTGTTGATTGCGTCTTGATAGTGTATTGAATGATGCATTGAGTTGTACACTTCATCCTTTCAGATTGAGTTTTTTTTTGATCCTGAGATATCCTGAGATATATCCTGAGCATGAGCTTTGCGTCAGGACCGGCCTGTTGCAAAAATTAATGGGCAAGGCACGACGGTTGCGAGCTTCGACCAGCAAGAACCTGAGCGAACTGGGAATGATTCGGAGAATAAAACCTCAGACTCTGAAGAATTTGCCATGAATTTGCCATAATTTGCCACATTGTTTGATTTGTTTGAAAGCCGTTTGAAAACCGTTTGAAAACCGTTTTCATTCGCAGAAAGTCGAACTGGGAAAAACATGGAAAAACAGAGCCTGGCTTCTAAGGCAAGGTCCGGAACCTGTCATCATAGCCTTGAGCGAAGTCATCATTTGGTCCTGGCATGGCAGTGTAGATTTTGTTTTCGTGCAGTCGTGCATCATTGTGACTGTCCACATTTGTGACGTTTGATTCGATTTGATTCGATTTGTGCAGCTGATCACAAGCCGATATTGAGACAGAAATGCATGTGACAACCACAGCGTGTCACAGCGCGTCATTGCCCGATAGGTCTTGTCTTTGCAGCATGCGTGGGACAGCCGAAATTGCATCTCTTTGACACACGAAACTATGCCAAAGGCCGGGCGGACAGCTGGGCTACGCATGCTGCAGCTTGAATCTTCAACTTGATTCCCTGTCGTGTCTGTGAGGAGAATTCATCTCCTTCGACTTGAGATCACATCTCAAGGATCCAGCTGGCAACTCAGTGGTTTCGGTGGTTAGGCCGGTTAGGCCCCTGAACCGCCTGAAACGGAGTCTGAGAACATCTGAGAGCATCTGAGAGCATCTGAGAGCCAGGGAGAGCCAGGCTGCTAGATCTTGCAGCTTCACAGGCTTCACAGGCTTCACAGGCTTCACACCCTTCACTTGACGTAGGCCCACAGCGTGCAGTTCAGCCCCTGTGGCAAGTACTTGTTAGTGCGAACTCCGTGGCTGCCTTGGTGTCCAAACAAGTTTGCCTTGGAAGTGTTCTGTGGCTGACGCCAAGTATGGATTTGGTTCAAGTATCAATGGTCCTGTTCCAAGAACCAACCTGAAACTGTAGACGGATGAAACTTCTCATTTGGGTGGAGTGACCTGTTAATTCAAATTCAGTCCATGGTCAACAAATGGCTGAGCAATGCCCAGCCATGCGAGTTCATTGCAAAACACCCAACACATCCCAACGCGTTGTATGGATTCGTGTGGGACATTCATGCACTTTGTGAATCTGTTTGAATCATTGCAACACTCCCTCCAAGGGCGCAGATGGTGCTGATCGATGCATTTGATGGCGAGCTCATCTGCGAATATCCAGTGCAAGAGCAAGGCGAGTGTCCAGAATATGAACATGGATTAATTTGGGGTATATGGATGAGTTTAATATGGTTTAATTATATTAATGAGTTTAATATGGTTTAATTATATTAATATTAAATAATATAATATAATATAATTTAATACATTCCTTTTCAACGGGGTTAATGTAGCGGTGCCGTCTCAGCTTTCTGAAGGAATTGGTTAATATCTGCGCCCACCACGCTTGCAAAATGACATGCAGCACATTGCCAAGCGAACATACATCCAGAAGTACTATAGCGACAAAACAAATTGAACCACAAGACATGGAGAACGTCAAAAGCCTGCTGTTTCTTTGGATCAAAACATACCATCTCAGTTGCCAAAACAATTCAACATTCTGTTGAACTAGATTGAACTACTGGAAACACATTTGATCTGCTGTACAGCAACCGGTTGGAGGGTCACAGCTAGAGCGCTGCATCTGAAACGGACACTGCTGACGGTCCCAGATAAAAAGTTGGAACAGACTTAGGGAGGATACTTTGCTGCAAGGTTGACCAGCTGTGATGTTGAAACCTGGGGTCGGTTCACTTATAGCTAGGGAAAAAAAGAACTGGGAAAGTTGGGTTGATTCGGCGCTCAATCTTTCAAACACAGTGGAAAGCATGCTGGTCTTTTTTTAACAGATCTGCTCCTGATAGACCTGTAGCATCCTGTAGCCTTAATTAGCCTTGTAGGCTAATAGGCGCATGTTATTGTTTTCATTTGCGTACGCTGTGAACAAAAGGCATACTGAAAACTAGGACCAGTTGTTGCGTGACGTGGTGCACAGTCGAACTGAAACTGTAAACTCCAAAACCGTCATTGTGTACTCTCCTCATTTGACCACCCCCTCACGCCAATAGAATGTTTATTCATGTCAGTTATTTCATGTTTATTCCGTTAAGTTTATACATTTTTTTTTTTTAAAGACGAGGTTGAACAGGATTCTTGGTTTGATCCAGTGCAACGCCTCATGCCGCTTACTGCTTGTCATGGAGGTGACATGTTGATTGGCTTGGAGGCAGACCGATATCACGGCCCAAAGATGTCGCTTACGCATGCTAATGCACTGTAGAAATATTGAAATATCAAAATAACACTAATAACTCATAACACACATTAACACACATCAACACACAACAAACACCAAAAACAACTCCAATGCCTCAAAATTTGCCATTTCTTAACACCGAAAATGCTGGAAATGCTGAAATGCTTCGATTTCTTGGCACTGCAAAGACCTGGGTTTGCTTTCGGGCGCGAAGAGTCCAACACCAGAGCCCACCTTTGAAAATCGCAAAACGACAAAGCGACGTTGCAGCGACGACCTTTCAAAACAAAGCTAGGTTTTGTGATGTTTTGTGCTTTTCAATGCTTTTCAGCCCCACGACCATGTTGAGTGTCACGGTGCTATGTGGAGTGACAAGTGGATACTATTGGATACAAGATGATACAAGTAATCATATAAATCATATAAACAAGTGGAATTTTCGAAGTCATTCCAAGCTTTTCGACGCTTTTTGGGTTTCTAGACATACTTTTCCACTTGGTGGCCTGCAAGGTGCAGCAGTGCCCAGCTTTTCACCAGATTCGCAGTGCGGTTCTCAAGTGAACGCCTTTATGCATTCTCAAAACATTCTCAATGCACCAAAGTAAGGGTCTTTGAATGCTTTTTGGAAACTGCAATCTGAGCAACTGAAGATTGGGACGACATGGGACGACAAAGTGTGAAGTGAGCTGTTGGAGATGTCCGATTCGGATCGATTCGGTACGATGATGATCCCAATGGTTGCAGGTATGTGATGTGTGGCATGGCCAATGGCGACGTATGTGTTTGGGGTGCTACAAATGCAGGGTCCACAGCTTTTTCTGCCGGTGTAAGATGCTTGAGCCATGGGCGAATTTGGCTGTGAGACGCAGGCACGACTTGTGCACAAGCTGGAGGGCCATACAGCCTTGTCACTCGGTCAGCATTCAAACACCTAGCCTTACTTGACCATCAGAATCTTTCATCATTTTTGAACCTTTGAACTCACCTTTGAAGTGGAAATTTGACCCAGGAACCGGAACATCCGATCTTTGGATGGAGTGAAAGACAATGCAGGTTTCTCTTGTTTTGGTGTGAAAGTTGAGAAAGCCTTGAAAGCTACATGTTGTCATTGTTTGCGCATTCATGAGATTGAATATTGAGTCAATTCAATCATACAAAGTAATCCATTGGATCTCTAATGATGTATGATGATTTAATATGATTTATGTAGATCATCTAGATCTATTATTTGGACTCTTGGACCCGGAGATGCTGCACTGAGGCCAGGTCGGACATGCTTCAACCCGACGCATGCTCTGGTTGTCACTGCAGCTGAAACGCTGGTGCGCTGCAGATGGTTGAAACATGTTGAAACATGTTGAAACATGTTGAAACATGTTGAAACTTGTATGCCTTGAAAGACTTGAAAGTCTTCACCTGTGTGATGATGATAGCTTTGTCTTGTGATCACAGGATTTGTGATGCAGTTTCTGTCTCTGACAATGCTTGCCAGGCTTGGTGGATACCAGACGCGGGCCCACCTGTGCTTTGGATATCAAATGAATCAGATATGCACTCGAAAGGTTCAGCAGGTTTGCGCACTCTGAAATTTCATCAAGACCTTGAGGTGTTTGAACATGTTTTAGTCCCTGAAAGACTGGTGAACGGATGTGAATGGTGCGGTGCACAACTGCAATTCTAAGGCGACTTGAGCCATGAGACCTGAGACGGAAAGGGTTTGCTTCTATCTCGTCTCAAAAATCTTTGCCGGGCTCTCTATTTCTGACTACGGTGGTCGCAGCCAACAAAAAAAAGGTGTGATGTGCAAATTGTGCAAAGGTCTTGCTGATATTCAGATTATCGCAATGGAGGTGTCATAGTTTCATCGTGTTGAGCTCCAGCTGTAAGGGAGTGGATTGGGTCTAGACTCTGAGCCTCTGAAGTAAGAAATGGACATTTTTTCTTAGCCCCTGTAGTTCTGATTTGAGGCACAGCAATTCTAATGCAAATCTCTTAGCTTCTGACCAAATGTGGATCCGTCATGATCTGCAATCCCTGAATGTTTCTTTCAGTTGACATGTGCAGGTTTTCGCTTAGCATTTCACATTTCACACCTCTGGATTTGTTCGTGTGCTCAGCACACCATCTCTGAGCGCACCAAGGGTATGATGTTACATGATGCAACATGATACAGCGTGATACAACCGAGTATGATGGTGAATACAGTTGTGCCAAAGTTCTGCCATCAGCTCCTACAGTTTACTTCCTCATACAAAAAAATATTGCAAAAGATTGCAACAGTACATAAAAGTGTACTAAGGCACTCTCACAGACCATAATCACAAGTGATTAAAGCGATGAACTGGAGTTAGCAGTGAAAGACAAGTATCTAACTACAGTCTCATACTGATTGATGCAAAGTTGAAATAAGGACAGAAAGGCATCTCTTTCATGTTTGCTTCAGACTTGTTTGGTCGAGTGCTGCCAACCAAGGGTATCCTGGATCACGACCCACTGCAAGTTTCACAAGTTTTTCACATGTTTTTCACGTTTTTCACATGTTTTCTTTTTTTTTCCAATACGGTAAGAGCGAAGCCACCAGCTATGGAAGAAGTGGAAGACGTGGACGAGCCGTGTGAAACCGAGGAGAGAGGCGCGGGATTTGCGGATTCGCCCTCTGCAGGTAAAACTCAGTCGTCAGTGCCACCATATGCCACGGGATTCGCTCAAACACATAGAAGATGGACAAGAGATGACAAGAGCAAGTCACGATATGATGTGATTCATATGATTGTTGATATGATGATATATGGTGCACATCTGGTTTAATCCTTACAGTAACATTCCTTAACCTTTTTTGACATGTAGGTCGGGTAGCATATTTGTACCAATCTGTTACCAATCTATATATTTGACTCTATAAGCTTTCTCATTGTGACCTCAGTTTCCAATTCGTCATTTTCAGTTTGACTTCAGTTCCTCTAGTTCTGTTTCTTTTTTTTTGTTTAGTTCCGTTTCTTTCTGTTTCTTCACTTTGAATTGACATTTTTTTTCCGCTTTTTTTTGGCATGTTTGAAAGTGTTTTGAGTGTTTGTACTAAGTTTGTACAACTTTTGTCACTTTTTGTCACTTTGGATTCGGGGCTGTGTCGCTGGCATGGCAGTGGCACTTTTCCATGGCAGCGCCTCGGAGTATTTTCCACTCGTAAAAAATGAAATCCATGCGTGAGATGATCATAAAGGATCTATATATTTTATGATTATGATTATAAATTTATTTTATCATTGTATGACATAGATCTGCGTAATTTATATATGCGATATTTAGTATACTATATAATATGTATGTCATATATTAAACTATATAAACTATATGAAACTATATGACACTATATACAGTGTAGAGATGATATGTAAATGAAGATAAAATGTCACCCTGCACAAGGCGCTTCCAATATCTTCTAATTGCAAGGTATGTAGCACTTCGTGGAGCATCTTTGCATGGCATACGTTTTTCGTTGCGTCATGTTGTGTCGCCATTACGTTTTTTGCGTTCGTCGTTTGCCAACACAGATTTTTGCAATGCCTTATGATTGACAAAGGCCGAGTTGTTGCACTTATTTGTGCACTTTTCGCACTGACATTTTTAGGTACTGATTCAGAGATAGATGCCTCAGTCGCGATGTGTGTCTAAGTATCAACAATTCCAGAACTCATGATTTTAGTGTTGACATCATGATGCAGATCTGTTGCCACGGCGTTTAGCTCGCATGGTTGGTCCGTTGCTTTTCAACTCTTTGAGTCATCCATTGGCCATAAACAATTTGCCTGAAGTTATTTGCTCAGGCTTTTTGGCAGATGGTGACAGCTCCCAGCGGGATGTAGCAATGCAGCCGGAAATATGAGTGATATGAGGTACTACAATTACTACAAGAGTCTGGAAATTTGGTATTGGAAGTTCGATGATTTCGATGTATCCAGACAACTTTTCGCAGCTAGCTTCTGCTAGCTGAAGTCTCTCTTGCTTCAGAAAGGTATTTGCAGGGGCCGGAATTTCCAATCGCATGAAGCTTCAAAGTTAACTACCCCCCCCTCCCAGGCTGGCTTTTCAACAAGCATCAGCAGCATCATCGGCATCGTTGCTGTCAGCATCATCAGTATCATCAGACTTACTGTCCACATCGTATCTCCCAATTCCTCACGCACCGCTCTTTCACCACCTTCCTGCTCCCTTTACCCTTGCAGCTAGCTTTCGTCCCTTACCCCTTGGCCTCACGTCAAGTCACAAAGAAGATTGGGGATGTTGAAGGACTCTAGCCTGAGACTCATGTAGTATCTCACTACTTTTCCAAATGTGCAGCAACTCGAGCAACATATTATGCTGAACCAAGTAAGAAAACAAGCAGAAGGAAGTGCTAGAAGGTAGCACGAATTCATGCTGCGATTCTTCGCCATTCATGAATAGGTTGAGAATGTGGTCATATTTTGTTTACGTGCTTGAAGTAGTTGCATACTTTCCCTCCCTCTCTCTCTCTGCATGAATAAATATTGAATGATTTCACTGTATCAGACCTAAACGGCATCACCACATGCACCAGTTGGTGATGCTCATCTGGAGGCGCATCATCTTTCATGTGGCTACAAGTCCTCGATTGGCACTGCAATTGGTTTTGACGGTCAACTCTGGTGTAGGTGTGTGATGGTGTGTGGTGACAAGATGTGACAAGTTCACTGTAACAGATTTGTGCAAAAACAGAATTCAGGGGTTGCCGATTCTTTTACTTTCTTTTATCTTTACAAAAATGGTCAGATGCATGCCTGGGAGTCTGATTTCTCGATTTGTGCCAGGTTGTTCCCATATTTGCCCACATGTCCCCATATTTCCCATGTTTGTTTTTTCATTAAACAAAAACATTTTCAATTTTCCAACGAATGCAGTTCCTCCGACGTCACAACCTTAGGCAAGTGTGGGAGAAAGATTCCCCAGCTTCCTGCAGAAAACTTTGCCGGAAAGCTTACGTTTCAACTGTTTCAACTTGATCTCCAGTGGTGCTTTTGTGCGAATAATGTTGGAACGAGCTGAGGCAAGAGACTGCAGGTCCAGAACGGCAGGCCGCTGTGAAGTGGCACAGTCGTGGCCTTCTGTTGATCTTCATGATTTTTCTGATCTTCCCGAGCTTTGGAACTTCTTTGGAACTTCCTGATCTTCAACTGTTCACTTCGCTTGGCTCAGGCGCTCTTGGCAGAGTTGGAAGCTGCTCGAAGTGAACTTGCGGCAGCACGAAGTGCCCGAGCAGCATTGACAGCGTGAGCTCCCAGTCACCGCCTTTTTTTTAATATCTTTTTTAAGGGACGTTCCACTGATCGTTCCAGATTGTTTGCGGATTGTTATAGTCGATTTTTTGGTACATCTATGTCGAATCTATGTACATCTACATCATCTCTTATCTATGGAAGGCAGAGCGCTTTTCTGTCGAAGAAAGCAGGACCTGGATATGTTGGACTTTGCAGGCCTTTGTAGGATCGTGTAGGTTCGAAGTCGGCCAGGATGAAGGACTATGCCTCTGAAATACGGACGCTCTCGCATAGTAATGCTACCCTGCAGGCTGCGCCTGCACTGTGTGGTAAAATGTGTGGAGAATTGTTCTCCACAATGTGCGACTGAAGAAATGTGATGCAATTTGCAGGCCCAGTGCGACATGGCAAACGCCCACTTAAAAGTCTGCTCCACAGTGCAACTCCAGAGAGACTGTTGCCACTCTAACGTTACTCGGTGGAGTCAAACATATCACCATACAAAGAGGGGATAATTTGTAATAACTTTGTAATGTATTATGGATCCGCAGACATTCTGCAAGTGACTTGCTTTCCAGGTTGTCTTTGGCCTGTACCACTGAATAGTTTTGGCTTGCATTGTGCCTCTGTCAGACAGAGTTCTTCTTTTTTTTTGTGGAGAGGCACTTGCTGCCATGGCCAGATCAACAGCAAGCCAGGTTTCTGCACCAGTTGCCCACGAGTTGCCTTACATTCGCTGGTGTTCAATTTTGTCAAGATTTCACATTTGAGAAACCCAAAAACTGACTCTGACACCCAACGGCGCTCAAATGAGAGAACAGATGGGACAGGTTCGGTCAAGGCAGGCTTTGCTCTACGGCCTGCTACAGCAGACAGAGGACTTCCACAGCAACTTCCAAGTGAGATATCATTGCATGAACGTGTTTAGACAAAAGGATACGAAAGGTTTGATCAGTTCGTGGTGTTTGATATGCCTTTTCCAACATTTTTTCCGATAGACAGTCTGACGAAGCGAAACACATTGAGCACAGAAGGACCTTGAAGCTTCCACGCTGGGGGAAGATTGTGAGGCCACAGCCACGACAACGTGTGGTCACGTTGCGCGCCGGTGAATTCATTGCGAATGCGTTAAACATTTTTGGCATGGATGACAGGAAGATCCAGAAGAGAGGACCTTAAAGGAAAGGCACGCACACTCGCTATAGCATTTAAATTTCGTCTGAATTCGAATTCATTTGTCATATATGTATATATATGCCGAAAGAAACGGAATCTTTCTCTTGAGTGCTTATCGCTTCTTGCTTGCAGTCCAAACAGGGTTTGATATCCTTTAGGGCACGCGCTTTTTTATCGTTGGCCACACATGCAACATGAAATTGCAAATTGCCTGCTTGTACAGGCTTCATCGGCTGTCTATATCTTGCAGCAAGTTGAGAGGGGCTCGAAGCACAGCACAGCTTGGTGAAGTCCGAGCTTTCAAAAGAAAGCGTCAGTTTTTATAAGATTTGAAACATCTCCTGGTCATTTCCTTAACTTTCTTTCGCTTTCAATGTCACATTTGGCCACATTTGGTCACATTTGTGGTCACATTTGTGGTCACATCGCTCAGGTTAAGCCAAGTCAACACTTGGAAGGTGACAGGCCACTCACGACTGACGTTATTGCCTTAACATCGACGAAGATCTTTTCGTGCATTATTTCTTCGAACATATCTTGTATTTCTTGTTTGTTTGCATGGCATTGCACGGCATTGCACGGGATTGCACGGCATTGCATGGCATTGCATGGCATTGCATGGCATTGCATGGCATTGCACGGCATTGCACGGCATTGCATGGCATTGCATGGCATTGCATGGTACTGTTGCTGCTATTGCTGATGGTTTGCCAAAGAATGCAAACGTCTCTCCATCTTCACGCACTATGTGGCACGTGCGTACAACACGTCCAGTGGACACCTCTCTGATGTTGCAAAAGCAGACAATCCTATTTGCAATCAAAATCCTCCTCCCGATTCCCTTTGCAAAATCGACCCTTCCGGGTCGACAAAGGACCGATTTTTTGGAGACTAGGTGCGAAGTCACGACTCAACCCTGATTAATGCAAAGCTTTTAGTGGGCCAGAAAAAGTTTATTTTCAAAAGATACTGTTTGCTGCATTCGCGTGCCAAAGCAGTCGGCGGCAAGTGATTTGAGCGGTTTATAGCGTTTTTGCATTTGCACTTTGCTGTTCCGCGCTAAGCGCGTCCCGAGACCAATCTCCATGCCAGCACTGAGGTTCGAACTCCCAGTGGAGCATTTGGCACAGAGCGGACGTCAGGTACCCAAGGTACATCTGTCTACACCATATGATCCGGTTATGATCCGTGGTTTTTGCAGCTGCTTGTGCTCTCGGGCCTGTCGCCCTGGCCGGCCTTGGCCGGCCTTGGCCACCGAGGGGCGCGCTGTCAGAAGAAGCGCAAAGGACGCGGCATTGCGCAGATGTCGTGCAGATGTCGTGCAGATGTCGTGCAAGTTGCCCTGTGACATCCTGCGACTTAACCCGGTTGCCCTACCAGCCCTACCAGCCCTACCAGCCATGGATCTACCAGCCATGGATCATGTTGCAGATGTTGCAGGCTGTCTCAAGAGATCAGCCAACTGGACAAAGCAGCTGCCTCGCTGGAGGTGTCGATGCTGTGTTGCGTACGCTTGGAATATCTTGCCATACTGGTTACTGGTATCTCGGAAAGTCTTGGAATGAATTTGATTGATTTGAAGATGATGGCATGGCGTTGTGTGTAATGTTGATGTGGGATGGTCATTGATGATCATGCTCTCCAGGAGATGCATGACGTATCCGCGCCAGCTTTGCTTGAGCTCCAACAGCCGCCAATCTGCAATTCTTTGCAGGACTTTCGCTGGGCACTGTGCATGTCGTTGACCAATGTTGACCAATGTTGACCAATGTTGACCAATGTTGACCATGTAATGTAGTCACGATGGAGGAATTGGGCTTGAGGATGTACCTTTTGAGTTTTAATGTCTCTGGTTGCACAACTGCCTGATGACCAAGGTTGCGCTTGCATATTCCTGGCAGTTCTTTGGCTTCGCTGGTAGAGTCCTCAGAAGTTTCAGATATCATGCCATAGCCATCCAGAGCCTTGGTATCTATGGTGATTTCTGTTAAATTATCATCAGTTGCTCGTGCCACTGTTGTCACATCAGTCTGAAAGTCTGTGTCCTTCGTAGCAGATTCAAGGCAGATTCAAGACTAGATCTTTGATTTAACCTTTATCAGCAGGAAGCGCTCGTTTCCCAAGTGCACGAGCTTGCGTCGTTGGAGGAGGCGCTGTGAGTCCATTCAACAAGAGCGTCTATGTGAAGGGTGCTTAATGTGAACTTAATGTGTGCTTCAAAAGTTTGGCCGATTTGACGATGGCTCCAAAATTATCATTCCATTGGCCATTTTTGCTCAAAGCCGCTTTGTCCATTTCGGTCTGCTTTCTCCAGCCACCTAGGCTGACCTCACCATTGCTTTGCCTGCCATGAATTCCGCTTCGAACTCTCTCAAGATGTTCAACCAGGTTGTGGAGGACAAGTTGAATCAAGATGTGCGTCGTCACTTCTATGTGCTGCCCAGCCCCGTTTTCCCCGCACCCCCCCGCTCGCCTCCCCCTCCTCCCCAGTAAGACTGGAGGGAGGCAGTGGGGAGGCAGAAAGCCATGAGCTGTGAAAGCTCAATCTCAATGCAGAGAGTGCATTCGACCGAAATGCCATGCTCGGCATTGGTGTTCCCGCTGACACCAAGCGCTGTGAGTGCGCAAAGAGGGGAACTCATAGAGAGCAATGTGCCAAAGAAAGCGCAGCAAGCACAGCAGCAATGCAATGAGCGCAAAAAGTGCGCACCGTCCAAAGCACAGTGCCTTGGGCCCCGTGGGCCGCGTGGGCCGCATGGGCCGCGTGGGCCACGAGAGCCGATGTTCCAAACGCTCCACAGGCTCCACAGCCTCCTGCAGCAGCTAAGCTTCCAACGGAGGCGGTTCCTGGTCGAACAGTTCAGCCAGGAACAGCGACTCGCTTTGGAACGCTACATCTTAAGCGACAGAGACAGAGTCAAGAGAGGCCAGGTCTCAACAGCTGAACACGAATCCAAACGAATCCAAACGAGTCCAAACTCTAAACGAGTCCAACTACAGTGTAACTGACTGGCGTGTCACAGACATTGTCCCTGCTGGATTTTTGGAGGCAGCCGGTTGGAGCCGGTCTTGGTCTCAGTGAAGGATATGAAAAGCATCTCATGAATTCTCATGACAGGTCACCTTCAATGCACCAACACCAGGTATTTGTGGAACTTGGGAGTGAGGCCTCGAATCAGTTGGGGAGGAAGTGGAGCCGAGGTGGGGCAGTTCCTTTTCAAGCCGTCAGTTTGGTTGGCCTTGTTACTGGATTCATGCACTCGGTGTGGAAGGTAACTGTTGCATGCCGTTCCCAAAGTGACCGTGAAGTCAATCGCAGGTGGAGTACACTGCCGAGTGCATGGTGGCAGGCAGGGTCTGACAACTCACACTCAAAAGATATATATATATAATTGAAGCAATTTTGCAATCCATGATTGTGAGGACTAGACGTTCGTCCAGAAGGTGGAACATAATGACACGCAGTGTAAACTACGTAAACGAACTCAAGACCAGCCAAAGTGAGCACTTACAGTAGTACAAAGGGTTTTCATCACTTGCTTGTGGCTAGGAGTTCATGCTATAAGAGCATTACATGATGTACTGAGCATGCAAAACGTGCGCAAGCCAGTTCTGAGAAACATATGCTTTATCCAACACCTGGCAATGGCTGCAAAGGATGTCAAGCAGACTGCCACAGCTTTTCTTGCCCCAAGTATGTCAGGAGACTTTATCGCGCCCACGCCACTGTTGGTCCTTTCAGTGTGACTTGGTGTTCCTGTTCAGAAACAGTTTTCGCCTCAAGTGTAATGTGACCGGCCTGCAAATTTAGTCAATGTCAACAAATGTCAACAAAATTCTGGAGAGTCTGTGACGGTCTGTGACTTGACAGTGCCTCAGTGGGAGGTGGCCTCCCGTTACGATGCAAAACTGGCTACCGCAGCGTGGGAACCAAGCAGACATGGAACTCTCATAGAGACCATGTGAGACCATCATTCCTCGCTTTTGCAACGATCTTAGTACTGAAGTCTCAGATCTCACAGACTCTAAGACTAAGACTTCGACCTTCATGAAAGTTCATAAAAGCTTCTTTTTTAAGCCTATTATTACATGCTACTACCATCTTCTACCATTCTGGTGGAGAATGTTAGATTCATGCCTTCAAACCAGTTGACAATGCATGAGCTGATGGCTTAAATGACTTAAATATACTTAAATGACTTCAATTTGTTTCTTGACGTTTCTTTGGGCCGTAGCATCGGTAGGAAGTGTGGGGATGGCATATCAGCCTGGTGCATATCTCTGAGGAGCGCTTCCGGGACGTTCTTTGCGCGATGTCCAAGCGTGTGGCAGTGGCCCGAAGCATCGAAGAGGCCGAAGAGCATCGAAGAGCTTCCACTGACGAGTTGTGACAATAGGACGTGTATGGAAGTGTATGGAAGCGTAACGTACGATGACATACAAAGTGATGTATGAAGTGACATACGAGGTGACCCAGACAGAATTGTTTCGGGTCTCGAAGCATTGCTGTAGTCACTCTGGTGATTTGACTGGAGGTGGAGCAGTTCTTTCGAGAAGCTCTGGTGGAAGAACCAAGGCGGACTTGCGATAAACGAAGCGCCTTAAGTTCATTTGTTGGTACAGATTGCGCAGTGTCGAAATGTTGAGAGCCAAAGTAGGGTCAGTCTTGTCTGTATTCTAGGGTCATTTTGTGCCATCATGTTCTGGCCAATCCTCAGCGTGACAGGATATGTATATATATATATATTTCTTATTTTTTCTGAATCCCCTTTCTCGACATAAACCTTTTGGCTTGACTTTCTGCCACTTTGAAGCGCGGAGTGCAGGAAATGGGGGCTCAATGGTCGCGAAGATATGCGCTTGTGCTTTACAGCGTCTGTATCCGCAAAGCATTGGGTGGGAAGGCAGGGATTGTGGAGAGCCGTAAAACGCATTGTAACAAATTATAAAGACGTTGATGGCCGCGTGTTCTTCAAAGGTTTGGTGAGCAAAGCCTGAACGTGCTTGAAACACAAAGAGGGATTTCGGAACATCTCAAAGAGACAGTAGTATGTAGAAGCACTTATTTTTCTCTTTAACTTCAGTCTAATTCGCTTTTTTGATGCTTTTTTTGTCTTTCTCGTCTTTTCGTTTCCGGTAACACAGTAAGACGATAACACGGTATGTAACACGGTATGTAAGACGGTATGTAATGAGAGTAACATGTCTGGTGCAGGTCCTTGGCGACGCCTCGATTTGCTTTGACCGAGCTCGAAGACGGTCTGCGGGCGTGGCACAAGCTGCGGCAGGTGCCCGGGACGGTGCCCGGGACACATCGAAGAGACATCGAACCATCGTTTCTTTGGTGCAGAACTGCTTGCATATTTTGCTTGGGAGACTTGATCAGTCATAGCAGGTGTAGAGGTGTAACAGTCCTGAGATTGACATTTTTGTGGGACATTTTGACGTTTGCAGGCACGGAAATCCTTTCTCCTGTCTCCCTTGAGCAACGTGTTCAACACCAGCTTCTTGACCCAGCTAGGATCCAAGATTCGGGCGGACAGAAGATTGGAGAAGGTTGGAGAAGTTGGACAGACAAAGAGAAGAGCTAACCTTAGCACCTTTGAAGGCTCCTGGTTCCAAAGGCGGCAGAGGTCCAAAAAGGTCAAACAACAACGTCCATGTGGCAATATTGTTTTTTTTGAGAGACATAACATGTCGACTAACAAGTGCAGACTTGATGTGTTTGGAGGGTGGGTGGGTCCAAGCCAGTGAGCCTGCCATTTTGGCTCAAGCTGGCTCTGGATTTCAAGGCAAGGATGTCACCCACAAATCGAGAAGTGTGACCCGTCGCGAGGGCCGGCATGGCAGCAATTTTTGGGTCCTGGGAAAGCATGCGAGAAATTCGAACGATGGACAATGCATTGGACCACTTCCGTGTTTCTGTCCAGGTGGGCAGCCCAGGATCAGATCTTCGACTACTGGCAGCGCTGCCCCGCTCCGCTTTAATTACGGGGTGTGGTAACGCTGTCACCGACCAGGGAGGACTTACGGCCATGCAGGCCACTCAGGTGGGACTGGTGTGGCGACTTGCTCGAAGAGCCATTGCAGCACAGAGTGGAGTGGCGGAGGAACAGTTCGTAGACGTGGACCCTTGGTCTGAAACGCTGGAGAGCGACCGTGGAGACACAGCTCAACATGAACCAGTTCAGAGGACGGGGGGAGGTGTGAAGGAAAGGGTGCTTAAAATGAGCAGTCTCATCGACCAGCAAGATGAGTCAGAATTACTACCTCCCAATCCGAGCGATGTTGATCGATGGTACCAGAATTATGTGGTCACTATGGGAGCCCAACCAGATGAAGCAGAAGAACCCACAGCTTCTCAGTTGGCAGCTTTGCATAAGAAAGTTTTCATTGAGAACAGGGCCCGTTACTGTGACTTCAGTGTTTGGACACCTTTTGAACGGAGGATGAGTCGGGTGCAAAAGTGCCGAGTGTACACGCCCTTGGGAAATGGGTCCTACTTACAGAAGGACTTGCCGGGCCCAAGCACCCATGCAGCATGGAAGGCATCGTGGAACGTCTTCAAGGCAGCATGCATCATGTTGAAGATTTGCAGCCTGGCCTCGATGGAGGCCTACTCACGACAGAGCGCCTCATGACGCAGTGGCCAAGATGCTGGGGCCTTGTTTACCTGGCAGACGACTCAGCGAGGGCAGAACGTTTGGAGAAGACCCGAAGGAGGGTTACTATCGAAGCTGCACAAGGGCGCCAGACACCGAGGGACTGGGACCTATCTCGCCCCTGGTCCTGCATCTTCATTATGCTGGCTGGGGACATGGAGTTTTGGGCAGAGAGGGTACACCACCCGGCAGCGGCGTGGGTCGCATCAGGCGGCCGAGGAGCCCCTACAGTGGCTTCTGAAGCTGCAGTTTTAGAAGCCATGAGGGCGGAGACAAAGCTCTTGCAGGCGATCATGAAGTTGCCCAAGGAAGCCAAGAGTCCAAAAGGACCCAAGCCAATCGAGACAGACGTGCGGCAAAACGCAAGAGACAGGCTGCAGAAAAGGAAGAGTTGGCGAGGCACAGGGCTTCGGCGGCAAGTTCAAACAAGGGACATCCGGCGACCAAGGGCAAGAGCAAAGGCAAGTCCCGGGATCAGTCGGGATTGGAAATTTGCTACAGCTGGGCAGCCGGAAAGGGGCATTGCGAAAGTGTTCCACCTGGTGGAGAGTGCAAGGGGCCAACAAAGCGAGTCCACAAATGTAGACATTGCTTATCACCTTCCCATCGGGATGCCGACTGCAAAGCAGCTTGACAGAGCTTGAAGACCGAGGACTGGAAAACAAGGACAATAAAACCCCCCCTCCAAGTTGCAGGTGGCTCCAATGAGGTGTGAATAAGTTTGGGGGATAGGGCTCAAAATTTTGGGATTGCATGTCATTTGAACGGTTTATTTTACTGTGGGATTGTGCATGTTTTTGAGTGTGCTTGATTTGACTGCTTGCGCATGAAGTTGAAGTGGCATGGGATTTTCTTTGAATTAAAAAGATTAGTGAACTTTGCATGTCATAGCAGTCATTCAGGCATGTTCGAAGGTGCACTCAGTTTGTTGCCGCAGCCTGGGCTGAAAGGCCTTCCCCTTTTGCCCGATGGCAGAAGGAAACAGGGAGGCCGAAGAAGCTGACCTTTCGTCGCCTGATTATGGAGGCGATGAAGAACCAAAGGTAGGCACTGTGACAGCCGTGGCAGCTGGCAGCAAGCGACAGGAAGAAAAGGAGACAGGCAAAGTTCCACCTGGTGAAGACGGTGCGGAAGACAAGGACGAGGACCGAGATAGGTTCTGGCTGCCTGAGAGGGTGAAGAACGCCTTGCAGAAGAGCCGCAACTTTGATGAGTTCCGGAAAGCCAGACCGTTCAGGTTCCTCCACATGTTCTCAGGGGAGACGGACCAGCTGGGAGCCTCGATAAAACGAGAAGCCTAAAAGGCCAGGCTGGAGACGTATGTGGAAGCCTTAGATCGAAAAAAGGACACAGAGATCAACCTGGCGGACCCCAAGGTTTATGACGAGATTGACAGATCAGTAGAAGAAGGTGAATGGGATGGGTTTCATAGTGGATTCCCCTGCGCTTCCTTCTCGCGAGTGAGGTGGCGAGACTCGCCGGGCGGCCCTATGCCTGTTAGGAGTGCTGCTCACATATATGGGCTGCCGGGCAACACACCAAGCCAACAGAAAGAGGCAGACGAGGGCACCCTGATGGCTACACGCTCAGCATGGTTGCACAAGAAGCAGGTGATGGCATGCCAGAAGCGGGGGGTTCCAGAGGTGTCCACACTGGAAAACCCGCCGGGGGCGAAAGACTCCGGTTCGGCATGGGACTTACTTGAACTGCTGCAGGTGGTGCAAGAGACAAAGTCTTCCACGGTGGAGTTCAACACCTGCGCATACCAAACGAAGCTTCGAAAGAGGTGGTTCAAACCGGCCAGGTGGACGGGAAAGCTGGAGACCCTTGGCAGCCTTGCGAAGGTTTGCAAATGTCCGGCATGGGTGGAGCATGTGCCGTTGATGGGAAAGCAGAAGACCGAAGCGGCAGGGGCCTATCCGGAAGAGCTGACGGACGCAGTGGCCAAGAAGATCGTGGAGACTTGGAAGAGGGTTTTGAACTTGGAGTGGTTGAGATATCAGTTCAAGATGAAATCCAACCTCATCAACAAACTTCAAATCCAATGGCTTGAGAACGAGGAGAAGAGGCGGAAGCGGGTCTATGAAGACAGCACGCCGGAGAACCAGCAGGCTTTGTCATCGGAGCCAAAGAAAGCCAGGACAGAGGTAAAGATGCTCGAGGCCAATGACAATGAAGAAGAAGCGTTGCCATCCTCGTCAACAGGGCCATCAAGAAAGAGGATCAGAGAAGATCAGAATGACCACGCAATTGGAGGGATGCGCAACCCCTCCATAGCGGTGTCGAGACTGCACCAAGTCCAGAGAGTGGGACAACAGATCAGTGACGCTTGGGCAGTGTTTGCAGGAGATCATCCTGAGGTACTGGACGCGGCCAAGAACTATGGATCAAGGGAGGCAAAGATCAACATGGAGCTCCTGGATGCCTGGAGAAACAGACTCCAAGAGTTTCTGGAGGTAAAGCTCATGGACGGCATAACGCTGAAGGAGGAGGTCGAGTTTGCCTCCCCACTCAATGCGGCGTTGTGGGACGCTTGGAGAGTGGCGTCCAGAGACCCGGAACAATACATCGGGCAGTGGGCCAGAGAAGGGGTCCCACTTGGCATGGACATGGAAGTGCCTGCGTCGGGCATATACCCCACAGTGGACCCACAGGAACCTTTGGAGACAAAGATGGACATGGCAGAGTTGAAGAACTTGCGCAACTACGAGTCCGTCGAAACGCAGAAGGAAGAAGCCTCCATTGAGGTGGACAGATATTTAAAGAAGGGCTTCTGTCGAGTCCTTTCATGGGAGGAACTTCACGAAAGGTTCCCCGAGGGCACTGCAAGTCGACTGGCACTCATAATGAAGCAGAAGCCAGATGGAAGCACCAAAAGGCGCATTGTCATTGACATGAAAAGAAGCAGGGGCAATGACAGAGCGAACATCAAAGAAAGGATAGTGCTACCTCGAGCGCAGGACATCGTGGAGAGCCTGCGCGTGATGAGGTCTCGTGAAAGAGAACTAAGAGGGCGAGACTCGGAGAGATCCATTCTGAAGAGCTCAAGGGCTTTCCAAGACACCGAGGTGGAGTTCTGTCCGTTGGACCTGCAGGATGCGTTCTGCCACTTTGGGGTCCACCCGACGGAGCTCAAACACTGTGTGAGCCCGGGCCTGGAGAGCGGCACAGGCATCCTGTGGGTGGCCATGCTGTTTGGCTTCAAGGGGGCCCCATTCATAATGGGCAGACTTAGCGCAGCCATTGGGCGGCTAGTACAATCAATGTTTCACCCAGCAGCAGCTCAGACCCAAGTGTATATTGATGATGTGGCCCTCATTTTGAGGGGGTCACAGCAGTGCCGAGACCTGAACTTGGCCAAGGTGCTGTATGTCCTTGCGGCCTTCGGCGTGCAAGTTGCAATGGAGAAGGGAGAAAGAGGTCGCCGCGTACAATGGATTGGGACGACATTCGAACTGATCCCAAACTATGTTGTCTTGGGGGCACCGGAGAAAATGATTGGAGAAGTGAAAGACACATTGGACTCCTGGGCCAAGAAAGGGATGATACCCACGAAGGAACTGAGATCCTTCCTAGGGAAACTGGCGTGGATCGCAGGAATCATCCCGAGGCTGAGGTGGACGGTGACCGCAATGTACGCCGTGCTCACGAAAGTGCTCAACGAAGAAGACAAGGAGCATGAGCGAGCACAACAGAGGAAAGGGGACCGGAGACCGAAGGTAGGGCTGGTGGCGGTCAAACGACTAGGCACTACAGTGCCATGGCTTCAAGCAGCTTTCGCGACACCGGAGTCCATGGTGATCCGTCAGGAACCTTTGGAGAAGCTCGAACCGGTGTGGGGGGTAGTGACTGACGCCTCTCCTAAAGGGATAGGCGGCCTACTTATCCACCGAGTCGGGCAATCATGGCACATCGTGGAGGCCTTTGAAGCTCCAGTGCAGAGCCACCAGGCCGTATCTTTGGACATCGAGTTTCAACAAGCGTCTGGACAAGCAGTCTTGGAGGCCGTGGCCATGCTGCGGGCGCTCCAAATGTGGAGCACAAAAGTGCAAAAGGGGGCCTTGGTCATCCGATCAGACAGCAGTGTGGCCTTGGCAATCACGAAGAAGCTGTCGTCCCCAACGAAGACGCTGAACTATATAGCAGCCGAGATATCCTTGCTCCTGGAGAAGGCCTGCATCAGCCGCTTAGTTCCCCAGCACATCCCGGGGACGTTGAACAAGGAAGCTGACTGGCTTTCACGCTTGGGAGACAGAGGTGCCATCCCAGCGGCACTGGTGGGCATCAAGCTCCGACGAACCACGGCGCTGTCAGAGAGGCAATTGGCCATGAAACCACCAGGGCAAGAAGGCAGTCCCTGGCATGCTGCACTTCCACATCCAAGCGGGGTGTATGACAGCCTGTAACGCATTCCCAGCCCGCTGTAAAAGTCGGCTGACCCAGGGATGCGCTTGGAAGGGTGTCAGCCACATCAAAGTCAGTTACATGCACAGGGTAACACTGCATTCAAGTACATGTCCATGTCATTGCATGCCTCCGCAGCCGTTTTGTTTGCACAGGCTCAAGATCATGGAGCTTGTGGCACGCAGCCCAGCACCAGTGACTAGGGCAGACCCGTCGGCCAGCCCGTACCGCAGCGTGGGAGCATGGATATTCCTGCTCCTAATTTTCATGCTCGGCACACTCTTTGGTCTATGGTTGCCGCGGCTTTGCCAAAGCGCGCTCCATTTTGACCTTCTGACACTTTTTGCATAGTACCGAGAGTCTGCTTGGTTTCTTGGTTAACTCCACCTTCACATTTCTCTTGGCGAAGTTCCATCCGCACAGTGTGGACCATTTATCCAGTGGGATACCCCATGCTACCTGTCCCACCACATGTTTGGTCCATTTGCCTCGAGTGTTCGAGATGGCGTACACCTCTTCTCCCTTTTCTTCGTCAACTATGGACTTGACCGGCTGGGGCTGTGTCTCGATCACTTCCACGGCTCTCTTGGGAGATCCCTTTGCCTTGGGTCGCAAAGCTTTCTTTTCTATGGTCTCATCTGAGATCGTTTGTTTCCCCTCCGGCTCCTTTTCCGCAGGCTCGATGTTCAATGGTATCTCAGTCATCGCTTCCTCAATGTATCTGAAGACAGCTGAGGACTTCCACCTGCCCAGGAACTGGATGTGGTGAACGCTGACCCCTGCTCTTGCGTAAGCCATTGCACCGGACCTCCGAGCTGAGTGCCCTGTCATTTCGGAGTCCAATGCTTCTGCCCACGCCGTCACCATGTGGACCTTTGAAACCCGCTTTCCTTCTATATCTGGGAAGAGTGGGGACGTTCCCTCGTTGCTGTCCAGGTCGTTCAGTGCATCGACAGCCATTGCAAAAGGGCAGCTTCTTTCGCACTTCGCCTGCCCACAACACTTGAGGGTTCTCCATGTGCCTATGCCCCTTTGGTCAGTCTTTGACTTGGGGATGAAGTGTTTGACGATCTTTTCCTCCACCTTCACCACTACGTCTTTTGCAGAGATCTGGGCTGCCTCTATTGCTCTGAACATCCAGGTGGCAGCCCATGCATATGACCATGCTACTCTCTTCGGCTCCTTCTCCTTCTTGTTCACGAGGTTCCATGTCTTGTCGGGGATCTCCGACACTCTCACTTCTTTTGCTCTTTGTTCAGGACCTTTGTCTCGCTGCATGGCTCGTTTGCACGTGCTTATTTGCCGGTCCAACCTCAGGTCCCATTCGAATCCTTCTTCGATGTGCATCGCCTTGGCTTCAGCGAGGTATTGATCCCCCGCTCGCATTCCGGTTGCGTCCAAAACTGCCGCGATGGTGGTGATGCTCTCAGTCGTCAGCGGGAACGGTGCCTCGTTCATTCCGTCCAGGATCTCTGTCACCTTCTTTCTCTTTGTATTCTTTGAGGCTAATGTCGATGCTGTGTAGAACTTCTTCGCAAAGCTGGCGCGGACTCTTTGCAACCATGCCCTGTCTTTGACCTTCTCCCCCACTGCTTTCAATGGGATCTTCTTCTCCTTCAGGGCTTCCTCGGGCTCGCCGCTGCCATCATCGCTTCCATTGCCCTTCTGAAGCTCGGCTCCCTTGTGGACCTTTGCCTCCTTGTCAGGTTTTGTGCTCCTCTGTCTGGGGTTGGAGCCCTTGAGATTCGGTCGGAAGAGTTCGGTGAACTCCTCGTAGTTGCGCTTGATGCCTTTCCCTCTGATGCTTCTGTCCCTGTCGAATTGCACCAGGGTGGGGACATTTGCCCGGTATTCATATGCGTCCCACGCTTTGGAGTTCCACCTCTGATGGGGTTTCGCCTCAGGTGTCCCGCTTCTCCTGCCCAACATAGGATTATTGTTGCCCATGTGCTGCCTTTTGACCAGATTCCCAATGCCACTGCCTTGATCTTGGTGCTTAACACATCATGACAGGCTCTGCAACGGAACAGCAGGGCATGCAGAACCGGGAAGTTTTGAAATTAGAAAAGGACTGAAAGGTCCTCAGCACAGTGGGCAGATACAGGCCCTGACCGATGCCAACTCTCCAGAAAAGAGTGCTCATTGGAGGGTGGGTGGGCCTGTGAAATCATCATGGCAAGCAATTGTTTGAGAGACATAACATGTCGACTAACAAGTGCAGACTTGATGTGTTTGGAGGGTGGGTGGGTCCAAGCCAGTGAGCCTGCCATTTTGGCTCAAGCTGGCTCTGGATTTCACCCACCCTCCACACCCTGGAGCCAGCTTGAGACAAAATTGTTCCTGGGCAAGGGAGCTCGTGAGTGGGCGCAAGAAATGGCACTGGGTGCTTAACACATCATGACAGGCTCTGCAACGGAACAGCAGGGCATGCAGAACCGGGAAGTTTTGAAATTAGAAAAGGACTGAAAGGTCCTCAGCACAGTGGGCAGATACAGGCCCTGACCGATGCCAACTCTCCAGAAAAGAGTGCTCATTGGAGGGTGGGTGGGCCTGTGAAATCATCATGGCAAGCAATTGTTGCCCGTGATAAACCATCAGCATCGATTAGCCGTTTGGATTTCCCATGCTAAATTCCGAAGTGAGACTGAGGCAAGAGCTAGACACCGCGTGGTGTTCCCTCAGCCAGGTCCGGACTTTTTTTGTCGTGTCAAGGTGAGAACTTCTCAGAGCCTACCAGTCGTGTCTAAGTCGTGTCTAAGTCGTGGCAGTGTGACGATGATGTTTCCCGATGAACCAATGACATCCGACATCGGATGACATCCGATGACCCCAGGCCTACGTGGAGGTCTGGGCTTCATCTGGGCGGCGTGGTGCGGCAGCAAAGCTTCATGCCCGAAGACTCAGCAGATCTCAGCAGTTTTTGCATGTTTTTGCAAGATGTTTGTCTGGAATTGTACCGTTTTTACCAGGGTACACCCTCACCCTGTGTAAGATGTGTAAGGCATTGCGCTCCCAACATGTGCATTTGCACAAGCGAAGATCCAAGAAGGCAGGTGGGTGGATGGCTGCCCAAGACCAAAGTGGTCACTTGTTCGACTTGTTCTTTTTTGTTCTGACTTTGGTTTGCTCCCTCTAAACCTGTGCACCAGAATCATTTCTACTTCTAGTTCGCTGTAAAATGAAGAGACACCAATTGTCTATCCAAAGCGAAGCGAAAATGTGGGGAGGGTTCATTATGCGGAACCTGGAGCAGTAAGAATCTTTTCGCATTTGTGAAATGTTTTATGATACACAGCTTCGATCAGCTTCACATTGAAGCACAGGTGCACGCACATACATATAATATAATATTATTTAAAATTATATCATATTATGAGATTATGGTATATTATCGATGTGTATGATATATGCAGATATTACTTGATATTACGTATGTCTGAACTCGCCAGAACCAGCCCGTGCCAGGCGCGGCACTTATCTGTGGAAGAACGAATCCTACGCCTTCTCCGCCGTTGGCAGCCTGGGCTGAGAGGAGAGAAGCGACGCATGCCTCATGTGCCTCACGTGCCTCACCTGCCTCGCCAGAAGTCTTCCAAGTGACCGAAGTCGTGACAGAAGCCATTCTCTTGACGACCGTCATGAAAGAATCGCGACTGACAGAGATCTGAAAGCCTGAAAGTATCACCAGAAATTCTGGGTTTCCATGGCAACGCCTCTTGCCCGGACGTAGGGCATCATTGTTTGCAGTGGTTTGCAGTCGCAAAGAATCTGCAGGTCTTTGAAGTTTTCAGCATGCATTGTTCAATAATGAATTATAAAAGAGATGATAAGAGAAAAATTGGCTGGAGTTGGACCTTTTTTGGTACTTTTTGCATGCTGAAACATGCTGAAACTTACAACATTTGTCCCACGACAACAAAGACCTGCCATAGACAGGACAGGATAGACGTGCGATTGGAACGAGCAAGTGGAAGCCCCCAAGACTTTCAAGTCACGCAGCGAATTGCAAAGAAGTTGCAAATTGCTGCAAATTGCTGCAAATTGCATTTGAGACAGAATGATCTGCATATTTTTGTTGCACATTTAAAAATCATTTAATACATTCAGTGCCTTTCTGTGAGGCAGACTGCCTGCAAATAACCCTTGCAAATTTCGCAAGATCATTGACAGGAAATGCGGAGCTGCAACCGTGAGAACCGATTGATTCATTTGCGGCAAGAGGCCAGAGTGGGGCAAACTGAGACTTGAACGGACAACCTGGATTGACGCTGAATCATGCTGAATCATGCTGAATCATGCTGAATCATGCTGAATATAAAATAGTCTAAACTTTAGTCACTTCCATCCATTTGCACTCCTTTGTAAATGGCACCCTTAGCAGGTTGCAGAGAGGCAGAGCCACTTCGGTCGCATGACACACGATCTACAGGTGCTGAGAACTCAAATGCAATAAATGCAATGCGCATTGAAGTTTCATTGAAATTTGATAGGCTATGTCATAGGAAAACTTGGAAAAAATCTGAATATGAGTCATACCAGTGCTATGCTGTAGAAAACAGCAACAGATAACAAGAGCATTTTTTTGCCATGTGACATGGCCAGGCCCAAGTATCTCATTTGCAAGAGGAGGCGGGTACTATGCTCGATGCTTCTGACAGCAGATCGAACCTGTTTAATTACCTATTTTATTTCTGCCTGTCAAACATTTTGATGTTTTGTGAAAAAAATCCTCATGTGTAAAACAATTTGCATTCTCTCAGAATGGCTTTGGGCATTCTGGATTCCTCCCGTGAGGTTCGTGCATTTGAACATCGAAGGAGCTCGGCAAGTGCGGCCGCTTAAAACTCGATCAACAGGGCCTTTACGAAGAGCGAAAAGAAGTGACAGGTTCACAGGATCTGGTCACAGCGGACCTCACGTGTAACCCGTGTAACCCGTGTAACCGTGTAACTGTTACGGCTGTTACGGTTCATCAATGTTCATCAGTTCATGCCCCTGTCGCCGGTGACAGGCGTCAACATCGTCAACGGAGAGCTCAGAGAGTTGGAGCTGTTGAGACAACGGGAGCTGCGCCATTTGCGTGACCAGGACTATTCGTAAATATTGAGAGAAAGAAGGGAGAAAGAAGGGGAAAACGAGCACCTACGACAAGCATGGGTTGAATGGCACAGTGAAAGACTAGGGGACATGATTTGGTGAAGCAAAATACAAAAACTACTGCTCCGACATTCAAACAACTTGATCATGTGCACTGAAGGAATGGAGGATAATTGCCAGAATAGTTGAAAACTGCACGATAATGCAAAGCTGCATTGACTTTCTGGGCCTTTGATGTATAAAATCGCAGAACTGAAGCTGTAAGTTTTTCCGCGCCTCTTGCGCTTTCAGAGTGCCTAGTATTTTGTGTTTCGAATTTCAATATCCAGAGAATCCCAGTGCGAGGAAGAGCAGCTGGCACAGATGGAACGGCAGGCAAGTGCATTCGGTGTGGTGTGGACGCAAGTTGTCGCAAAGTCTGTGTGTGTTTTTTAAGCTTGAACAGGACACAGACCTTTCTCAGCCACCAGAACCACTAGCAGGGCTCCCACAGAGGTCGATGGGATCGATGGGATGACCATTGCGGACACGGAAAGTCCAGAGAGCCTAGGTCGACCCTGTCCCAGACAGACTTCCTCGGAGGCCTGGTTTGCCCCAGATCGCAGTACTCAGAAGTCAAGCCAGTCTCGACTTGCCATGTCCCCATGTCCCCAAGTTGTCAGGATGAATCCGGTCAGGAACTCAACAGCTAGAATAATGTTTGAAACAGCTGGATCTTGTACGGTTCAAACATGTTCCATGTTCAAACAGTTTCGACTAATGAGCATAAATGCAAAGATTATGCAAAGATTACGCTTTGCCGCTTTGCCTTTTCGGGATTGTTTTCGAGACCTGAGGCGCGCCAATCTCAAACACGCTCAGCAGATTGGCAGGCACGCGCAAGCTTCAATCGTCAAAAGACCTTCACAACAAAACTAAATGAAGGAAAGTAAATGAAACCAAAAACATGTTTCCCCTTGTCACGTTTGAGTTTTTTGTGCATATGTTCTTGTTGAAGATTCCGTGGCATGCGCATATGTTTGCAGCATTTTGGGCTGCCAATCCCTGAAAGAGTTCCGAAAGAGTACGAAAGCTTGGAAGTAGTTTTGGGTTTCAGGAAAAAGCTGCCTTGTGCTTTGACCTGCTGTTTGAGTGACCTCGTTCAAAGTTGAGGTTGTTCAGCACTAAATAGTTTTCAAATTAAGGAGTTAAACGATATTCCAAATATTTTTTGTCTTAACTTTAGGCGCTACGCCGCACAAAGCTGAGCCATAAGGGAGGGTGAGAGTGCAAACTGAACGGGACCAGAAGTCCTTGCAAAGATTGGCAAAACATGTTGAACTGACACTTCCATGTAAATTGTTGAGCGGATCTTCCTGTACTCTGAGTGTTAGTTCAGAACCTGGGTCAATGAAAACCAGGAAATAGGCAGGACTCGGCAGGAATCAATTGTCAGTTCAACAGGGATTACCAAATTCCTTGCTCCGTGTTGCTGAGCAGACACAAGACCATGAATCGTGTTTATTGTTGCATCAAAGGGTATATCGGTATATGATTGCGCGCCTGCTTCTTCGTCGTTTTATTGTTTTTCTGCTGCTGCTGCTGCTGCTGCTCCTGGTGCTCCATTTCTTGAGTGCAATCTAGCGCCAGATGTAACGAAAGAGGGAAAGCAAAGGAAACGCAAAGATCAGAAAGAGGGAGCCTATGACCGGGAAAGCTTCCATGATCTTCCATGTTTCTGGATCCCCGTGCTTTGGGAACAGCATGGGACAGTAGGGCTGCCTTTTGTCTGCGCAGGAACTCAGCCCGCACCCTGACAGCACTCAAGTGCCAGTTCTATGCATGGCAGCTGCCGACTGAATTGAGTTCACAGTGTTGAAATCCAAGGACTGACTTACAATTCGTCCAACCAAGACGTCCAAATGATCATGGTTTCGAAGGCCATTCCGATTGGCAACCTATGAGATTCTGTTTTTTGCCGAAACCTTCTGAGCTCGACGCACAGCTTGTAGGTGCTCCGCAGGGAAATAGGCAGGGACGGTCGTCCAAAAGCATCCAAAACTGTAGATTTCGATAGATTTAGAATCTTTTGGATAGGCAGAAACTGCACTGGTTTTGTGGGTGTGACCCCTTCAGTACCAGCTTCGCTCGTCAATAGCACCATGTCCAATCTATCGGAAAGTTATCTGCTTCCACCGTCAGGGCAGCTTCTGACGTCTTTCGACGCCATTCAGACTTTGAGGCCCAGACAAATGTATTGAAACAGCTTCGGCTCTATGAGCGATTGCATTGCAGATGTTGCAGGAGCGAGTGTCCGAATTGAAAGCCGTCATCGGATCTTCTTTACAAAGCCTTGCAGAGGCTTGGAATGCTTCCGAAATTTTCCGTGACTCACTGATACATTTTTGGCAATCACTGAACCAGCACCAGCAGACAGCCTTCAGGAGGGGTGGCATTCAAGTGACTCTGGCAAGTAGCTTCACAAGGCGGGCACTTGCCGATGAAAACTTTGCTGAAAGAAAAGTCAAGTTTGCTCAATGCTTTCTTATGGTTTCTTATAGCCCCTTGCGGTTTCTTGCACTCCTTCAATTTGATACGGTTTGCTTTCGGCTGTCTGGCAAGGTTTGCATAAAGTACGCAGTCTCAGAAAGAGTTCAGTTGAGCCTCTTTGTCCGGCAGAGAGACTGAGCGCCAAGTCTATCCCGCTCATTTTACTCCGTGAGAGACGAGAGCCTCTTGATGTGCTCTTCCGCGACGAGAACCTCATGCTACTTCATCGCCGCTCATGTCTGAGCTTATCTGGATGTGCAATTTGTCCACCATCTGACGAGATTGCTAGTGAGTACAACAGGCACGACCGCAGACCTGCTGGATGATGCGAATGGCGGACATTCAGAATTTCCATGAATTTCCTAGTCCGGCACTTTTCAGGTTTCAAAGTCGATGCTCACCTGCAAGGAGTCTGTTCCTATTTTTCCATTTTTTTACTGGTAATTGAAGGACTCTCAGAGTATATGGATACCAGCAGAGGCACACTGACACTAAACATAAATCAACTGGGAAGACACAGAAAGCTGTGGGCAGTGTGTTGTCAGCGCGAAAAATGGACTGCGGCGGCGGCGTTTAATCCTTGGCCATTCAATTTTGCTGTTCAGCAGTGAACCCTAAAACTTGGTGGCCTGTTCACTGCTGAAACTGCGCGTTTGGCCCGAGCTCATTTGACATTAGCTTTTTGGCAATATTTGATGTGGTTCCACAAAATTTTGGGAAACTTGTATCCAAGCAAGGTAGCTTTCAAGTCAAGAATACAGTTGTAGAATTCAAGAGTTACTTGTTCGACATCCGAAAGGTGTTTTTTTTAGATGTCTTTCTATGCAAATTGCAGCCGCATACCCAAAGTATGAGTCCAAATAATCATAATCTGACAAGATTCATTTCTTCATGGCCCTTAGGGCAAGTGGGCATCATGGCAGGGCAACGTTTTCTCGTCGAGCCTTAGCAGCGCATGCTTAGCCGGCACGTTGAGAGACCAACTTACCAAATGAGAAGTATTGCATGAAACTCGATGCAATTTGCATCAATTTGCGACACTTGAACCTTCCGTTTCAGACCTGAAATAATGTTATTGAATAAATTTGAATAATGGATGTGAAGGATGTGAAGCTTGGTGTCTACGGCTTCTGTAATTCTTCTGTACGGCGTGGTTTCCTGCCGGTCCCGGCCAGGTCTATGTGTCGGAGGCCAGCAGTTCTCGGAGTTGAAGCAATGTTTGTTGCTGTGAGAAAAGAAAAGCCAGACAGACAAGTGAAAATGTGCGGATTTTCATAGCAAGCCGGACCACATATAGATACAACATGGTAGAATTTTAGCAGCTTTTGATGTCGGACATGGAAAATCTTTAAACATCAGTTTGGATCCATTCGAACTCATTCCACCTGGCAGCTTTGTGATGTGTTCTTGTGCTCAGGGCAGGGATCGCGGGATCATCTCCAGAATCGCTGCTGCAGGTGCAAATTCAAGTCTATAATAATTATATATTAATGATAATAATAGTAATAATATATATATAATATATATATATAGATGTATATTATATCATATTATATATACTAATACTAAATTGTATATGTCACAATTCCATGCAACAATGCGTAAATATGTGTACTATGCACATGATGATGATGATGATTCTTCTTCTTCTTACTTTCTTTGCTCTTTCTTTGCTCTTACTTTCTTCTTTGCTTTGGTATTTTCTTGTGAGTGGAGGTGCCGCCAGCGGTGCGGTAGTCTGCAATACCTTCGTGGATCCAACTTACAATCGAACAGGACGGCAACGGTGGTAACATGGATTCCTACTGCGTGAGCTGACGATGTATGCATTCATCCGGTAACAGATGCCATGTGGAAGACAACCTCATAGAAAGATAATTTTCAACCTTCAGATAGATTTGCCTTCTCAATTTAGGATGTAAGAAACCTTCACTTCGCACAGTAAGGACTGACTTTGGCTTCTACGGATGCAACAAAAATTGAGGCCCTCAAATTGTGAAGTCGTTTCGCTAAGAATAAGGACAGAACTCGATGAACTCAGGATGTAACACAATTTGACAAAAATCATGGCCACTGCGCCACTGCGATCAATTGGACACATGGACACTGTTTTGTGGACAATCGGGGAAGCATCGATGGCACAAGTCTTCAGAGGAAACACAGGGAATCACCTGAAGTGCAGACTTCTGAGTGTGCTGAGAATCACAGCCCTTTCCGTGCCTCATGTGCCGATTTATGGCTTCAGGGGTGGCGTTTGCCAAAGCATCATTGCATACGGCAACATCGATTGCTATGCCAACACTGCAACTTTTGAACATCTCACAATAGACACTGACACAAATGCCGGCTAACAGCTTTCAGCAGCCACTTTTGCTTGTGGACTTGGAGACGACTGATGCCGTAGAAGGCAGTTCCACTGCCTAGGAACCTCAAAAACCAGAGACAAGAGACAGCCAACCTTTACAGCGTATCAGCGATTCCACTTGACTTCCAGAGAGGACCGTGCAGTGCTTGTTTAAGACCATTGCTTCAAGGAAACACACAATATGAATATGAGGATCATTTTTGCTTGCTATTTGCACACGTCCTTGGACTTCTGGCATGTAACAAAGTGGAAGAAGACTCAACAAAATTATAGCATTTGTTTGCACGGCACTGGCAACTCGCGCTTAGTTTAGCCTCGTCTTTTGATGTAATGCAAATGCGCAAAGTCGAGCTCGTGTCCTCTCATGTCCTGTGGTGTCCTCTCGTGTTCTCGTGTCTGTTTTGTTGCCAGACGTTCCATTTGCAGCTGTTGGATGCTGTTGGGCAGTCGCGTCCACCGGTGTCACATGTTCGCCTAACCGACTGGTCGTGTGTTCGCGCGGGTTCCTACAGTTCCTATAGTTCTCCCTGAGATACTTTCCGCTTCTCTAGATGCTGGCAAGGCCAAGAGACAGAAGCTATACTTTCACTGTGGGTTGGGGTGAGAGTTGTTTGCAAGTCAGAGGTTTCAGTTTAAAAACCCTTTGGATTATGCCGTTATGCCTATGCCTATGCCTATTCTTCTGTATTCATGAGTATTCATGGGACAATGCACAGCAGGTCGGTCGCTGCCACTGCTTGTTTTCTTGCTGTCATTGTCAGACAGTTTTCATGCTGGAAGTGCATGGTCTTCCGGGTCATGTTTTCGAAACCCCAAAAGGCTTTACCCGGAAACAGGACATACAACCAAGATCAACCAAGTATTTTCCACAAGTAGGCGGAGAGGGAGCGGATGCCGCTGGTCTGCTTGGAATTCTCACCAACTGAGTAGCGTCAGAAACCTGGTTGCAAACCAGTCCTACTGGTAGCTATCATGGAATATAATGAGATTATAATGAGCATAATGAGCCGTTTTCAAAAGGTTAGTAGAACCCCAACATTGACAATCGAGCAACGGGTTTTTGATGGTTTTTGACACTGCTCAACTGATCCAACCATGCTGAGATGGACATCGGCTTGTCGCCTCCCAAGTCGAAATGTATCGTGTATTGATTCACATTGTGGATTGATGGTGTTGGGCATTTCTCCAGAGCTTTGTTCTCTGTCCTTTACCGGTGAACGCATTCGAATCCTGCGGTCTGTAGCATATCTAGAACATGACAGGTTACCACATGTACAAGATTTTTCCACCCGGCCCTAGGCGTACGCCCCCTTTTTCAATGTGCGACAGTTCACACTGAGAAAAACCGTCTCTCAAGTCCCTTAAATGTAATGAAAGAGTAAAGCAGTGTGATCCAGCATGTGCGTCAATATTTAATTCATGATTTTGGAACATCAGTAGAAATGCTTTGTTCATGATGATTGAACCCGGAAAAGTAACTAGAATCAAAAACAAGAGAGTTTTGCTAGATTGTTGCTCCCGAACTAAACATGTGGAAAGCAAAGCCCTTGCCTTGATCAGGCGAAATCTCCGCTCATGGTCATAAAGGCCTCAAGCGCCATGTAGTTTGAATTCCGATAAGCAGTGCTTGTATTGTTTCAGTGGGCATTACTTGTACAAGCAGAATGACGCTCAGAGCGATACCTAGTGGTAGCCAGCTTGAGTTTCTTCTTGCTTTAGCAAGCACAGGGACGAGCCCGACCACATGAGTTACCGCGCGTTTCCCCCTCTCCCCCCGCCCCTCCCATTCCCTCCCCTTGGCTGCAACCAGTAGCTCTTCAGTAGCATGATGTATGGCTCAAAGAGTGCTGGCAAGTGTGCATGCACCAGTGCTCTCGTACACTTCGCCGGGCCTCAAGTGGCAAATAAGACGTGCGTTCCAGACCGTATTCTTTACATTTCTATACCAGCTACATCCAGCTACGGAAATCAAGCCGTTTTTAGGTGGTGCAAAATCACAGTCACCTGACCCGTAATTCGGATGGACTTGAGGTGCCCAGTATGTAGGCACCCAGCCAGTGAAGGATCGATGCAGCTGAAACATATGAAAACATAAAACATCCCTCAATTAGGATTCGTGAGGAAACATGAGACACATACTATTATATAAGTATCAAAAACAGTAAGAACCAGTTGAAAAATAAGCAAACTGGGAGCACATAGTGGCAAACATATGAAAAATAGGACAACATAAGAAACTATTGGAAAGCACAGGAAAATTGAAACAATAGAAAGAGATAGGAAAACAATAGAACACAATAAAGACAAGTAAACAACAAAATCGTAGCCCGCCACGGAAAAGCTCTTATTTGTCTTTAAGGGGATTTATTGCTTGTCCCGCTGCCTTTACCCACCAGTACCCTACTCACCAGTACTCTAGTCCCCCCAGAAAGAAATTCTTAAGAGGAGAACACATTGTGCTCTACAGTTGCATTTACATTCATTGCATGCTCTGTCGGAGCTATACAGACTATGTCCTCCGCAATCCCCAATCCAAACATTTATCCAAACTTCGTTTGAAGAGTGCGCACACACACGCACACCATTGAAACATTGAAACATATTCGACATCACAGGGAAACTTTTGCGATGCACTTTGACATATGCCTGGTTCAGAAAACAAACCAAGAACAATGACACAATCAGGAAGTCGAATGGAAGACCCAGGTGATCAGAAAAAAACTTGCATTGTTTCAGTCGGATAGACCATTCAATATTGTGGCACCAAGCACAAGATCTACGATGCTGTCATATTATGTCTGTATGTGTATATTTCCATATACTGTGCATAGGTTACATTTCCAAAACACCTGACACCAGACCTACCCAAGCGCCAAGATTTGGCCCTTGTCCCTGAGCTGTCGTTTCCTTTCCGTTGCCTCAAGTTGTCGTTCTGTCCTGGTTCTGTCCGTGTTGGCATAGTTGGCTCAGCATTTTTAGAGTTCGCAAGGATGGTTTCGCAGACGATGCTTTCGCTTTTGCAGAGCACTATGTCGACTTCTTTTGGGCCAAAATTGAAGTGCAAGGCAAAACCACAAAACCACAGAAAAACGTGACGAAACTGTGTAAACCTCATAAAGAACTTGGCATTTGAGTCTGCGTCCGCAGGCCGCCAAGTACTACTTGGACAACGGGGGTGAAGAGCATCCGCTGGACCAAGCATCCAGCATCGATCCAGCAATGTGATTCATGTGATTCAAGTTTGAACTCACGTCGTCACGTCCTGAGAGTCTTCAGATGTCTTCAGATGTCTTCAGGTGTCTTCTGAGAGTTATCTGTTTCTGGGGATTTCCGAAGGACTGGAAGGAGCTGCATCAGCTCTTCGTGGCACAATTTGCAGGGCGCTTGGTTTCCTGAGCAGGCTGGTTGGTGCCAAGCAGCATTTGATTCAGCGCGAAAACATGCCACAACTATCTGACCCTGGTCCGTTTCACTGCCTGCTTGTGTGTTTCTGGCACATGTACTGTTGCTCACATCCAGCTGTCACGGCTGTTTCCTTTTTTGATTTCGGGCCGCACTGCAGAATTTAATCTTGATGGTTTTGATCCCTAGCCTTCTTTGATCAAGACTCACGCGTTTGTGCTGCACTAGCAGTGCGGATATCCATTCCAAATGAAGCAACATATTGGGAATGCCGGCATTGCCATGGTATCCCTGTTCCTTGCGTTCCTTGTCACCGCATATGGTGCAAAGATACACAGCGGGAAGGTGGCAGAGATGGCAGAGATGGCAGAGATGGCGATGGCGAGTCGGGAGGCAGCTGAAGCAACGACCTCCGAGATGGTCGCGTTGCGAAGCCCTTTGGCTGGTCGGTACCTTCAGATGAACAAATGGGGCATTGCAGCCAGTGTTCCTGCCACCAGTGTCGACAATGGGTGGACATTTGAGAGGTGGGTCAAGGTCAACGTTGCTGATAACTTTGCACTTCACAACACCTATTGGAATCGCTTCCTCGTGATGACTGACACTGGCTTGACTGTAAGCAATTTCTTGGCTGAAGATGAGCATGCGAAGCTGCCTGAAGGTGCTTGGTTCGAAAATGGTCCCGGACTCCTGGGTGCCTCCTCTGTCTACAGCCAGATGTTCAAGCGATTTCTGACGATGACATCCGGGGGCCAGGTGGGAGTCAGTGATGTGAAGGACATCCAAGAGCATGTTGTGCCACCAAACCACCACAGGACTACCAATGTTCCAGAGGAGTGGACAGTACAAACCCAGACTTTCACAAGGCCGGGATTTTCTGGTTGGCCGGGTTGGCCGGGTTGGCTGGGTTGGCCGGGTTGGCCGGTTTGGCCTTGCTCAAATGTGTTCAGGAAGGATGGTACGCATAGAAGGGTGGTTGGTAAACGGCAAGCCAGGTTTCGCTATGTTTCGCTCATTTCACTTTTTTTCTTAATTCAAGATGACAATAATTGAAACAAAACCTGCAAGGAGCGATTGCCCCAACCTTTACCATGCGAAGGGCTCCAGCTGCAAAGCGAACGTGATTGGCAAGACCATTGCTTTGTGGAACCATTGGCACAATCGTTTTGCCCTGATTAACCGGGACGGCTGGATGCAGTCAAGTCAGCCAGGAAACACATTATGGGATTCGTCGACTTGGAAAAGATTCTTGGTGGTGGATGCTGGTGATTGGGAAATTGCATTGCACTCCGCGGAACACAACCGCTACGTTAGCATGAATGGTCAGTTTTGCCTGGCAAGCCAGCTGATGGATGAACACGAGTTAAACAATGCAAACGCTGATGAACGTTTCAAGTTGGTGGATGCGGGCAATGGAAAAGTTGCACTGCATAACAAGCAACACAACCGTTTCATGATGATGAACAGCCAAAATCAGATAGTTGTTTCGGCCGTCATGAACTGGGATGCTTTGCCCGCCAATAATCATGATTGGGAAAGATTCGTGATCTACGAAAGCGACTACGTCGCGACAGGTCCGTACCTGATGTTTTCCAAGATGGCAAGTTGTAAACCATGGCTGATTGGTCAAACAGTGTCCTTCTGGAACCCATGGCACAAACGGTACATGCAGATGGTGAACTCTCAATCTGCAACACTGCTGGTCACTCCGCAAATGGCTTCCCCAGAATCTCTGAGCGAATCTTCTGAGGAGGAGCGCTTCCGGGTCGTCGACATTGGCAGCCGCTGGGTGGTTTGTACCATGAAGTTTATCAACGTTATGTGATGATGAATGACCAAAACAAGTTGATTGCTGGGCCTGTCTCGACTATTCAAGCCATTCCTGCCAACAATGCATGGGAGAGGATCCTTGTAGTGGATGTTGGGGATGGCAAAATCGCTCTGCATTTCCCGTGGTTCAATAGATTCGCCATGATGACCTACAGCGACATGGTGGCGAGCGCAATCTTCAACTGGCCACCTGGGAATGCTTGGAAATAGTCAATTTCTTTTGCTCTGAGCAAATTACATCGTGTTCTGTGTGTATTATATATTTTTATTTATTCCCAAAAGCATCTTCGATGCTTGGGTTCTCGTTTAGTTGTTTAACCGCGTGGGGGAGCGACCTGGCTCGAACGGTGGTGTGCGGACGGCGTGGGTGCAAGGGAAAGGAAAGGAAAGGAAGGGAAAGGAAGGGAAAGGAAGGGAAAGGAAGGGAAAGGAAAGGAAGGGAAAGGATGGGAAAGGAAGGAAAAAGGAAGGGAAAGGAAGGGAAAGGAAGGGAAAGGAAGGGAAAGGAAGGGACAGGAAGGGAAAGGAAGGGACAGGAAGGGAAAGGAAGGGAAAGGAAGGGAAACGAAGGAAAAAGGAAGGGGAAGGAAGGAAAAAGGAAGGAAAAAGGAAGGGAAAGGAAGGGAAAGGAAGGGAAAGGAAGGGAAAGGAACGGAAAGGAAGGGAAAGGATGGGAAAGGAAGGGAAAGGAAGGGAAAGGATGGGAAAGCAAGGGCTGGTGATGAGCGACCTTGGCTGCGCGGACGGCTGCGGACGGCAAATGGGTGCGGAGAATTGCGCGGATGGCTGCGGACGGCGTGGGTGCAACGGAGCCAACACAGGTTAAACAGCTGTATAAATCAATCTCGTGGAACACCTTATAAATCGAGCATTTTCAGTGGGCTTGGGTGCTATTGCTTTCAAGATTAATCCTTCAATGATTTGCAGGGCCCATGCAAGGTTTTAGTACATGCATCTTGAATAAACATGCAGCAGGTATAGGCTTTCACCTCCCCTCAGCCATTTCGTGATGTTCTGGAACTGGCTTGCATAGGAACCGGCTTTGCTTTAATGATGAAATGCGGAGTGCGCAAAGAAACAATGTGCAGGAGGCATGGGTTTCCAACATCCATCACATAATTGAACTGGCTTGCGCACCTTTGCTCTTATGATTTGAATCCGCAGTGTACACCGCCGTGCAGTAACAATGTACAGGATCGGTTTTCAACATCCATCACATATTTGACCGGCTTGCGCAGCTTTGCTCTTATGATTTGAATCCGCAGTGTACACAGCCGTGCAGTAACAATGTGCAGGAGGTATGGGTTTTCAACATCCATCACATATTAGAACCGGCTTGCGCAGCTTGGGAGGTTCGCTGTGTAGCTCATACAGCGACTGTCACATACGCTGTTCGAACCACTGCAAAAAACGGTTTATGTGCCATAAATCGATTTTTGCGGGTGCACCCATTGGTCGCTGTTCAAGCAGAATTGCGCCCAATGTTCGCTCTTCTGTCGAACAGCGACTAGCCGGTGCACCCAGTTGGTCGCTGCTGAAGCATTTTTCTCCCTAGGAGCCTGAGAAATTTGGTTGGTCGCCGTATATTGTGATGACAGCGATTGTCACAGTGTTCGAGCCACCTCACACAGATCGATGCTTGTCGTATAAATCGGTTTTTGTGGGTTGCATGGGTTGGTCGCTGTAAAGTTACAATAGCGATTGACCTCAGATCGTGGGCATGGCTGTTGTGGTGTAGCACTGAGCAAAAGCTGATGTGTGTTGTGATGCACCTTTGTTTCACCATTGCTGCATTTCGCGCTGAAAACCCATGTCTCTACATCCTGCATGTTGCAATGTGTACCTGCCCGGAAACAGCATTGAGCAAAATTCCTGCAATGCAGTAGGATCAAGATCATGCTGCAGGATGGGCATTCCGATATGACAACGTTGTCAAAACATGCCCTAGAGACGATATGGTCTTCGCTGGGCGGGAAAATTGGTGGTGCAATTGGGTTAACTGATTGGTTTTAGAGCCACAGGAATCCATAAGCTTGTATATATCCCCTACACGGAAAAGGTTGCCTTGTGGTTCAAGCAATCGAAACGGCACCCCCAAGTATATACATATCTTGAATATATATGTATATATAAATATATATGTTTATGTTTGCAGACATACACGCATGTGTAAATGTAAAAAGCATATACGCACATTCAAGCTTGCATATCCATGCATAGACACGGCAAATCTATTTAACACATGTGTACATAAGGCATTTTTTGCAACATGGTGTATATAGATTAATATATATATATATAAATGTATATACACATATCACATGTATCTATTGTGCATGGATGTACACGAACATGCACAACCACAATCGCACAAACACGTATATAAGTAAAAATATATAAGACCAATACATATACATATGTCAGTCACAGCATGGCGTATGCGTAATATTTATAAATAGAAAAATTAGTTCCAAGGAAACATGTGAAAACATCACACCTATTTCAGGGACGAAACGTGCAAAAGTCACGAAACCCAAGGGGGAAAAACATGAAACTCACAGGGCCGGATGAAATTCATGAAGCGCAGCCGTGGAAAAAAATGAGTTTTCATGAAATTGAAAGAACTTGGCCAAAAAGCAAGGAAATCACGAAAAGAGAACGTGGAATTCATGAAATTCAGCAAAGAAAACGTGAATCTTATGAAATTCAGCGTGAATTTCATGAAATTCAGCAGCGTGAATTTCATGAAATTCAGCAGAGAAGAAGCGTGAATTTCATGAAATTCAGCAGAGAAAACGGGAGAAGCGTGAAATTCATGAAATTCAGCAGAGAAAACGTGAAATTCATGAAATTCACGAACAAGAAGCGTGACATTCATGACATTCATGAAATTCAGCAGAGAAAACGTGAAATTCATGAAATTCACGAACAAGAAGCGTGACATTCATGACATTCATGAAATTCAGCAGAGAAAACGTGAAATTCATGAAATTCACGAAAAAGAAGCGTGAAACTCATGTAATTCAGCAGACAATGAAACGTGAAGCGTGAAATCCACGAAAAAGAAGCGTGAAATTCATGAAATTGCTCATTATTCTTGAGTCCAGAAATTCCGAGGTGAGAAGAGGAAGAAAAAGCGGAACACACGAAACGTGAAATTTCGTGAAAAAGACGATATAAATCATTTATGCAAGCTACTTAACGTGAAATTTCGTGAAATTCATGTTTCCAGATCCCAGCGATGTTTCGCAAAGTATTTGGACTCATTCAGTGCTGGAAATCTTCGGCTAGGTGGCGGGCATGCAGAGTGTATGTATAAGCAGCGCCTTCTTTTTATCTCAAATGCAGCAAAAACATGTGCAAATTTTATGCCCGCCACATACAAAACTGAAAGCCTTGGAGACATGACGCCTCTCTATAGCACAAGTGCATCATGGACAGCCTTGCGGCAAAGGTCATGCCATAGAAATCTAATTCGGGAAGAACTTTAACGTCATCGAGCCCGCTGTTGCCGGGAGCTGCAGCACAACGCTTGCTTCCGAGAAGAGTTGAATGCTTATGCTCAGAGGCAGTAGGGCTTGCAACATGTTTCTTGTTTGGTTGTTTGGCAAGCCTGCGTGGGCCTCGCCGGGGAAAAATTGGTAGGAGAAAAACTCCGGTAATACCTCTCTCTCTGTGGCCAAACCATGCTATCACCAGGTTGTGTGATGTGTTTTTGCGCAAAGCGTGCTTGATCAAAAAAACCAGCTGACCGCTGACATGAGAAGAATGCTAGAAAAGGCTTGGCGAAAAAATGACATGCGCAGAAAGTCCTGCGTGTAAAAATACATATACGCTTTGTGCGTCTGTGTAAGCAGCCCATGGGGCAACCTTTCCGGAATGTGGTAATTAACAGCCATGCATGATTGCAATCGGATGGAGCTTCCTATTTGTTTCCCGGGCCGCTTAGAAACCTATACAGCAGTTCAATGTTGCCACGATCGGTTTTGCCGCAAAGTAGGGGCATGGCTTTTTTTGACTCCGCTGTGTCGATTCCTCCATCAATGATTTTTGTCGCATTGATCTCGTCGCAGTGCATACCGGAGCGAAACCGCAGTCGCCGACTTTACTGCTAGTAGTTTTTTACATCAAGCATGTAGTTTGACCCTGTATATGTGGACTTGCGACGATGGTTGTTCAGACCGCCGTGTCACCGAAACTTGCAAATTGGCTATGGGAGTTGAGGAACGTATCCCTACTTAAAAGCCTGACACGTTGGGATGCGTGAGAATGAAATATATATATATATATATATTAAAAAAAAACTACACACACATATATATATATATACATATATATATATATCACACACACATATGTATATATATATATATTCTGGAAAAAGAGAGAGATTTACAAAATAAATAGCAGTAAAGAGATATGTATATATATATATATTTACACATATATAAAGCCAGAGAGCAACCCCCGGTATGCACTTGCAACTTTCAATATTTTGCCGTCCGACAATCACTGCGCATGAAGCTGAAGAGCCCCTCACGGGCACAAGCGGGCGCGGCATGGGCCGCTCCAATGATGACACGCTTGCTCTTTTTGGAATGCTTGCATTGAAAAGCATTGTCGACTGTGTTTGAGCGCCTTTACCTGTCAATGTGGGCTGCCCTGAAGAGCATGGTGCTGCCTTGCTACCAAAACGTTTTGCAAAAGAAAACAGTGTCCAGGAACTGCAAAGGTTAACAATACAATACAAATGGTGCTTTATCTTCCTCGTGTCCTGAGACTACTCTTTTGTTTTATTGCTGGTGCTTTTGAGGGTTCCCGCTGGTTAAATGCTTTAGGTGTAAGCCTGCTTTCGCATTTTTGGAGGAAACAAAAACCGCTCTGGGATTGTTTGAAAACGGTGGATATCTCAAGAATAAGAAAATAAATAATGGAAATTTAAATGTAACCTGATATTGTGATGTTTCCAGGCCAACCTTATATATTTGGCACGCG